CGGATTATGTTGTATTCAAGTGCAAACACTATCCAATTGATCAAGTAATCTATTCAAGAATAATTATGATACAACTGCGCTACTTTGCCTTATATGTGCTGCCAATCTCGCCCCACTTGATCTCACTAAACTGAACGGCCGCGTCGGGTTGAATCTTCTTGATGACCTCTGGATTCCCCTCAGTGGCATTACAAGGACCGGAGCTGCCACTGTCCAACCCTATTAATTTGGATCATGGCGTTAGCGACTTCTTCCACGCAATTTCTTTGTGGGTATGCGGGATTATATCGGGAGTATGTATGTCTCGACTCTTGAAGTTCGCGAGATGGAGAGATAACTTTGCGAGAAAGGGATGCTTACAATTCATGAATCCAGTAACATCATACCAAACAGAAAGCGCGAGTACCATACCACGGGACATGGCTTCACCCATCTCCTCAAGCCCGCCAAGCTCGGTGAATCGCCGTGTTCCACCAGGATTTTCTTGGCAGTAGGCGTCATCGAGGAAATCTTTCTTCGCGCGATCAGGCAAGTTGACTACGGCGTTCGAAATGACTTTGCCATCTTGGATGTACTTTCGTTGAATGGAAGTCAACTTGCCCCTCTTGTTTGCCGGGAACGACGTGACGACGGTGAACGGGCGTTTGGTGTCAACTTCGGCTTGGGCCTGCTCGCCTGCACGCGGTAGGAAGTTAGTAATTGCTTCTTTTCTTGGGACCGGGAAAATAGACGACTCAGAGTGGCGGGATATTGCAAGAGGGCAACTGTGTGTGGAAAACTTACCATAGTAATTTGGTTGGTCGAGAGCGTAGGGGTTGTATGTGCAGCCCCACTGATCGCAAACACCCTCGAATCCACATTCGGCACCTGAGCACTTATACATGGAAGTGATGTTGCAGGGATGTGGAGCGATAGATGTGGACCTTCTGTTGGCCTCCCAGATGTCCATTTCATTGCAGCACGCTCCTTTACCTTCGATGTTTCCCTATACTCGGTTAACTTAGAACGTTTAGTCATGCTCAAACAAGACACTTACGACTCCATCAACGAAGGGGAATGTGAAGCATTGCGCATCGCAATATCCATTACCGAGTTCAGCTCCTCCCTTGTTGAGAAAGTCTCTACCACCGAATTTGTTCATTTCTGACAAGTATAGGGCTCCGTTCATGCCGCAAGGGAGTTTGGATACATCGACGGTAAAGGTGAATTCGTTGCCGGTGAGCTTCAACATTTCGTACTGATGCTCATCGCTATCCAACAGATACGCTCTAGGACTGAGGGAAGAAAGATCATCGCTCAACATATCCATATAGAGCGTACTTCCTTTGGTTGTGACTCCATACTTGGAGTAGTCAGATATCTGATCGACGACGCAGTTTTTGGCACAAGTCTTCGCATCTGGGCTATTTTACGAGTTAGTGCAATTGTTCAGAGCTTGAAGGGTAGAGCTATAAACTCTCAAAATAGCACAGTGAGTTTCATAAGGCCGACAATACTAACCAGACTGTTTTGTTTGGCGCAGATCCCCAGTCACCACATCCAAGCTTGGGGTTGTCCTTTTGGTAGATGGGGTGTATAGCAGAGTCTAGCACAATGTAGGATGTCTTCTTTTTGCACCCACCTCGCAAGGTGCAGGTGTAGGTGTCAAGTTTAGGGTGGACTTCCTTGCCTTTGCCACTTAGAGACTGAGCAGCTACATTGTTAACACCAAGAAGGATTGCTGCGAGGAAGGGAAGTGTGCGAGTCATCTTGAACGGCTGCAGAGGAGGAGTTGCTGGAGATGATGCTACTGTCAAATTGTAGGATAGTCATGGTCTTTTATACAATCTCTGAGAATCCAAGCTGCTTCACGGCCCGGATGAACAAGTATAAAGACAGTTGTACTGGCATCTTGAAATCATGTGTCTCATGGCTCAGTACCTACTATGCGGTGATCCAATCGGGAACCTGATTTTCAGGTCAGGAACCATCATATCGTCCCGCTGTGCAGGCTTGGTAGTAGAGATTATTGGATGAATCAGCCGCTGCAATATAAATTGAGGCAAATCTAGAGACCTGATTGAGGTCTAGATGATAGAAATTTGCAGCATTGAACCGCGAGGAGACGCTAGGTGGTCAAGAACGAATTGGGAAAGAACGAATCGAGACATTTGGTCGCCGCCGTTCACAACCTGGCTGCTCAAGACGGTCGTATAATTGACAGTTCCGCCAGTCAGAAGACACTGTTCTTCTCTCAATGAATGAGAATAACCGTGCCGCCGATTTGATATTAAGTGTTCTAGAAGCGGCAGGTGGAACCCCTGGCTAGATAAACAGTCTAAGCGAGCTTTTCTAGCACGGACAATTCACACGTTTCTTTTCTGTTCCTCATACAGTCCATCGCTAACACATTGTATTGGCTATCCACTGTAATAAGCTTGCTTTACTCAGATTATTCCAAAAGGAAACTTCCATTTCCTACCCGTCCTAAATTACATTAGCACGATTCACCAATATGAATTGGCTAGTGGGCCGGAGAATTGTTCCACCGCAGACCGGAGGCATTGATTCCGGAGCGGGGGATTGTGAGTGCAGTCTTAGCCATCTTGCAATTGAGGCCCGGGTGCCTAAATTCGTGCAGCGGACTTATCAAAACCACTCCACTGTAAATGAAAGTGGCATCTTCTCGGCGGTGATTGCACTCAGAATCTCTAGACGATGCCAAGGGATCTGGAAATGAGGATGAACTAACTTCCTGACTCTCTCGTCGGGTACGCGTGAATAATGCCATCAAGATTCCAAAATTCACATCAATAGTCGAGCTGTGAAGTACAGGTGACCAGTGGACAGTTTCCAATTTCCATTTGCCCACTCAACGATAAAATAGAGGAACTAGCACATCGTAATCTTCTTCCTCGTCCTCCTCATCGTCCGCGTCTTCTTCGCGCAAGAAAGCCATTGCGCCACCTTTTCCCGAAGCCCTTGGCGATGCTCTTGCAATGGCTGCCCTGCTCTTTGAATCCTCGGCATCTTCGGCGAATCGCTTTTCAGGATTCTGCTTTTAATAATTGTGCAAGCTTCCAAAGAATTCGAGTCGTTGGTCCGTCATCATTCACCGGACTGTTCAGTTGCGCAATGGAGCGAGCTTTCTCAAGCACTGCCCTATCAAGAATTAGTTGTGGTGTCAAAATGACCTTGTGGGATGGTGATCTTACTTCGCAGGCTCAATCTCACCTTGTTCAAGTTTCACACAGCCTAGTGAGTAATATGCTGCTGCTGTGATGGGGATGTAGAGGCATTGTTGCCAAACCGATCTTGAGACACTCGTCGAATGATCTCCAAGCTAGATCCCAATCTTTTCGTAGCAGGTGAATATCTCCATAAACGTAATGCACGCTTCGGGACGATCATAAGATAGGTAGACCATACTTAGCTGTGAAATCCTTATCAGCACCCATGGTTCTCAGTGTCTCTGCTAAGTTCGTTTCTTTCTACCGCCTGAAATGTTTCGGCAATATTTCGGGTCGGCGACCAAGTGAACAGCCAGTGGCTATTCAAGTGAGAAAAGATATGTTCCTACTTTTATTTCAAGCAATACAGCCTCCTTGAGACTGATTCCTGCTGTCTGGGATGCGAAAGAGTTGAGAACAATCTGTAGCAATTGATAATGAACTGTACTTGTAATTTGAAGCTATACTTCACTTGACGGTGGGGGGAGGGGGGTGTTCAATGCGTCCATCCGAGACCATGTGATTATATTGGAAGGTGGTATGGAGCGGGTGCTGCTACTCGGCCAGCGTCGTCCTGCGATTCGCGATCATTCCAGACCTTTTCTTGTGAGCCTATGGCAAAATCTTGCATCCGTAGCCTTGCATATCCATCGTGATGACCCTTCAGTGCAGCTTCTGAGTAGCCTTACAAAATCACAGTCGACCTCAGTAACACAGCATTTCGCGATCATCTTACGCAAGTCCAAAGTGACCTCAGACGCCTTCTAGCAATTTACATTGTCTCCTGTGCGGGCAAATCTTGACTACCTACAGAAACTACCTCTTCATAAACACGAAAAGCCATACTGGTGCTTCCTAACCCCCAAAGAGGGATACGATCCCAACCATCAACGCGTCGACAACCTCGAATTTGGAGACCACTCGGACATAATAAGTAAACTCGTCACTAGCAAAGCAGGAAAAATGAGGACCAAGCATGTCGATCAGAATGTATGGTATGGAGATGACATCAATTGCTTTCATCGAATATATGGGATTCCTCAAGAGGAGGAACCATACTCAAGATGACTTTACATAAGTCGCTTGAGATGGATGTCATTGACATTAAGTTGGGCTACTTCTAGCGGGTGGTGTGGGTCAGACTAAATTTGGACTTTAAGCCACCCATACGTGATATAAAGTGACATGTATCATGATGGCCGGGAAAAGCACAGGTCTACTTAGTACAGGGGTTAAATAATGTACAATTCTACTCCGTGCATCTTATATGCTTTGTGACTATTTTCTCCAGTATACTATATATTATTGCTCTATCATTGGATAGCTCCCCTTGTAAAGGCTCCTGTGGTGTGTACTTCGGTCCAATACTTTCAAGGTCACACGTGAGTATACCCTGCGCTTCTGTAGAATGTGCAAGGTTGAATGATAAGTCGAGGAAGCTTTATCCGCAGAGAGTAAGCAAATTACATTCTATTTCAGAACTTTACAGTGGCAGTCACCATGACGCTCTGCCGGCTTTGGATCCATGAGGAAAATAATCATATTGAAGAGCCCTGGAGTCGTGGGTTTGTACTTCCGCACAACTTCGGCTTTGCCGCAACAGACCCCACTACATCGCTCCCCCACTAACGCGGTTAGCCAATCAAATGGACATCGATCTCCCAGCTAGACCGACATGAGAATTTCGGTCCCGATAAGTTTCCACAGAGCAATCGTCATAACATTATTTCTAACATATAATCTAATAAGAGTTGTCGCATACATCAAGTAACTTTCACTGAGCAAAGCCTCGTCTTTGATGGTCTAACGGTCATGATTTCCGCTTGTCAATCGACAAAGCGCGGGAGATCGGGGTTCGACTCCCCGTAAGCATACATTTACCAGTTTCCCCAAAGCCAACTAACGGTATACCAGGTCAGAGAGATACTCTAGAGTTCATGTCCCCCAGCTTCCGTTGGGAACTCACCTTTTGCATTTTTTAATCTCCCAATTGGAAGCCATGGGAATATGCATCCTTTCTTGGTGTCTTTGGCGCTTAAAAGCTAGCATGAGGATGGGCGAATACAGGCGCACAATTTTCCTGGCGACGGCTTGACTTGTGCGTCGAGCATCTCGCTTATTACAACATGCTTGGCGGGATTGTTTACCACTACAAAAGCTTGCATCGAGTCTCATTTTGCCGTAAATCATTTTCTTCTGTGGATGTCAATGTCACAAAGCTATTCAAGATCATGTCCGGTCATCTCGTGTCGTAAATCTCGATTGTCATTGTCAGTCTGCCAATTGAAGATGTTAAAGCTGGGGGTAAAGCATTGCCCAAACTATATTTTATTGGTGTCCTACATATTCAGGTTACGTGTCTGACTGTACTGTAGTTACCTCGTGACTTTGAGTGAAAACGTAATGTCAGCTCTATTTTTGTTCTACAGGAGATACATCCGCCTACTGCTGAAGGATTAGCCCACAATTTCATCACTCAGTGAGTTCTCAACTTAATCTTGCTGAACCTCATCGGAAATTGACCGCTTTTCATTGGGAAACATACTCCATAAGTCGATCAGTTGTGCTAATTCTTGGAGAATGCGCTGCTTTTCTCGGTTTCTTCAGTGAGCTCAGCAGTACACGATATTTTTGTCGTGGCCTCTCGCGCTTCTAAATTTCTCCCCTTGTCAAGAAATCATCTCTACTTCTGCTCTTGCGAGAAGGATTTCTCTCCCTCCTCCTCTCTCTCCTCCCTCCTGTAATTAGCACTTACACATGGTGTGACTTTCGACTGGAGAATTGAAATCAGTAAATTAGAGACTGTAAAGTCCGAATAGACATCGTGATAGAATGTGGATATTTCGCACCGATCTCTACAGGTCCTCGAGTACTTCCTTCTACTCAAACATCACTACATGGAATCAGGGAACCACTAATAATTCTCATACTGTCACAAATAACCTACGTGTACCTGTTGCTAGTGAATGCCCAGTAGTGGCCCAGTGCAGCATTAAGGATCTGGGGCTGGTATCATTGCTCCAAAGAGACGTACGGGCCTGCAAACTAGTTCAGCCTCACGACGACATAGACTCTCGCTATGGAAAAGCTGCTTCTCTATTTACTGATTATTTCAACAATACAATGCCTATTTTGTCTGCCTGATAACCTAGCCTATGACTCCATTCCGAACCCCCTAAACTATAACACCGCCCTCAGTATCAACGTCCATGACAACATCTCCCTCCGACGCAAGCACCTCCTTCGGGTCCCAAACCCTCGCATTCCTCGGCCACATGCGTTTGTACAAACTGACACCAATCGAGTCCTGAGGATTGATCTTCCCATCAAAGGTAGCCTTGAAATAACCATGCGTACCCAGACTCTCCTTGATGAAGCCACTGCGGCCGCGCTTGGTCCATAGCTGTAAGGCTTTGAACCACTCTACGTCTTCACGGTTGAAGAACATGTAGCGGATCGTCACGAGCTTCTTGTGGATCTTGTAGGGATGTCCAGTGAGGATTATGCGCTTGGCGATCACGCGGGAGGAGGATGGTGCCATTGATGTACCGATTCCGAGGAGGGTGAATGGAAGTGGAGAGAGGTTATCTTCGGTGGCGGTATTGCGCTTGAAGAAGAGTGCTGGGACGGAGCCCCATATCATTGGTGCTACGAATGTGGCGATTGTTGATTGCCCAGGATGTAAGAAACGATCGAACTTGTGTACATCGTTGGATGTGTTGCCGCCTGCTGAGAATAGAGGATTGATGATGAAACGACGAGGACCGCATTGCATGATCATTTCCTGCTTGGACTTGACAGCTGTGTTGTAATCAGAGGTCAAGGTAAAGTTGAAATTGACGACTGCTCGCTTATGCTCATGACGGAGCAGAGAGAAAAGGTTGAGAGGGCGGGATGGATTATATGATAATCGAAGAGAAGCTGGAACGTTTCGCAGATGGACATGAACTCGAGTGCCAGACGGGACACCACCAATCAAAGCTTCCCGGGTGACTTGACTTCTTGTAGACTTGTAATCGGGCACTTGAAGTAACCGTCTCCAGTCCTCTGGCTCATAAGCTCTGTCTTCCGCTTCCTCCCAACGACTTTCTCGCAGGCTCTTCAGCCCACGATATTTAAGTAGTCGCTCTCGCGCAAGAACATGAGGATGTAATTCAATCTCGTCTGGAAATTCACGATCATCTTCCGCCTCATCGACGTTTCGATTTCGAAAAGCAGCGAGTTGCGCAGCTTCAGCCTCATCATCTGGTGTTGGGTCGAGGAACATTTCCGACTTTGCGTATTCAGTAGGAGCGAATTCTGTTGGCTCTCGTGGTGCAAATCCTTCTACTCCATCCTGTGGCAAAGCTGGGGCACCCATAGAGAAGTCGCCCTGCTCATCGACATCCTCAAAATCAGATCCCGAATCGGAAAAGGTGTCCCCAAGATACCATGCTGCTTGATACGCAGATGTGCCTTTCGGTAACCTCTTTGGCTTTGCAGGGAAATGAGTCTGGTCGTCTGAAAAGTAGTGATGATCATCCAAAAGCACTCCTCGCTTATCACTTGTTGCCACTGACATGGTCGCATCAAGGTCGAGGTCGTCGTCCATCATAACTTCTTCTGGAGCCAGCTCCGCTGTATCATCCCGGTCTTCTGTTGGGGTATCGAGAACATTTTCTGAATCGCTTTCGTCCATCTTCATCTCATCTTGTCTCCTTTTCTTCGAAGTCAACGGCGCAGCTGTGATCTTCTCAATCTGAAAGCCACCCCAATCTCCGACCTGGACCAGCCGGTCTGCTTTTAAGCCCTTCCCTCTGACAACTCCTGTCAAAACAACATTATCCTGTTCGTTTTCCGGCCATAGTACTTCATCCACAAGCATCCAGCTTCTGTCCTCTCTCCATCGAACTCCCTTTGGTGTGGTCGTACATAATGACCGCATAAGGTTGGCGCATTCCTGTCTCGAATCCAGATTGTGTACTTTTTCCTGATCCGGATGGAAATGTGTGATATATGATTTCAGTGATGCTAGAACCTGGGGCCTTTTCTTTGCCGGTTCCACCTTGTCGAGTCCTTGGACAACTGTCATGAGAGTAGAAAGACCTTGGCTTTCAACACTTCTGATGATTAACTCTCCCAGTGCATCTACCTCTTGATCTGGAGATAGAATGAAGATGATGAAATCTGCCACTCTGCCGGCATCCAAACAAGCTATCAAGTCTCTCTTTAACACAACATATTGCACCTTTTGCTTGAATCGCTCAATATCCATCCGTAAATTACCCTCCTCTGGGACCTCGGCTTCGATGTCCAAACTTCCACTCAAAAGTCTTACTGCTGCAGCAGCATTACCGTCTTCGCACAAAGGGATAACGGCGACTGTCCTCGGAGCTCCATCCCGACCTGCAAAGACATTGGTTTCCCTCAAATGTTCCTTGTGCTTGTTCAATTGTTTCTGTTTGTTCTGATTTCGGCGATCGAATTTGGACATCATCTGCTGATGGGGCGTCTTTCGGTGACTTAGGTCTGCGAGCTTTCCTGTTGATTATCAGCAAAGTATCTTGCTATATCATGGAGGGGTAAACCTTTGGCGATTTCCTTCAATGCGCCCTTGGTCGCCTTTTTGGACTTGAAACCTTTCTGGGTGCCTTTCGTGGTGCTTCTATGCGAGTGAGACTGCACAGATGGAGCCATGTTGCCGCTACCACCGGCCTTGAATCTGAAGGGAATATTGGACGCCAGGTTGGATGTTTGTCGAGATTTTGGTAATCGTGCGTTTGAAACGTGGGGGATTCCTCTATCGAACATTTTTCCTGCCAAGATTTTGCGATAGGCGATAGCTAAGTCTTGGCACTAAAAAAGTTCGGTCCCTCGATATTCGGGTAGCGATTTCGTAATTGAATGAACATGCTACTCTCCAGACATCTCGATTCATACAATTTTTCGAACCTCCCGAAATCAGGCTCAACTGCTTACAGATATGTCAACTATGGAAGTTGATCGCCCCGAGGTCGAGAGCGGCGACAGAATACACTTCAATGGGGCAATCCCGATCAAACGCGCCCGGATGGATTTAACTGCGATCGCACTAGATGCAGCATTAATACGGAGGCAGAGAGAAGCCAATAAGCAGTATGGAAGAGGCAAAAAGATACCTTGTAAGATGCGCGGTCTAAGAGACCCGGAATGGCTACTAACAGCCAGTAGTAAAGGGCATCAGGGACAAGAAACTACGGGCAAATCTGAAGGCGCAAGAATCGAAATACCAAACTGCAATCCTGCGAGCCAAAGATGCAGAAATCTTGCACGAAAATACAGAAGGATTCCTGCAGCCAGAAAATGAGTTAGAACGGACATATAAAGTCAAACAACGAGACATTGCGAAAGAGGTGCCTATCGAGACGGCCAAGAAGGGATTCGAGCTGAAGCTGGAAGGATTGGGGCCTTATGTATGCGACTATACAAGAAATGGTAGAGACCTGTTACTCGCGGGTAGGAAAGGCCATATTGCGACTATGGATTGGAGAGATGGGAAGCTAGGCTGCGAGTTACAATTAGGAGAGACAGTAAGAGATGCAAAGTGGCTACACAATAATCAGATGTTTGCTGTTGCGCAGAAGAAATACGTCTACATATACGACCAGGCAGGTGTGGAGCTACATTGTCTGAAGAAGCATATCGAAGTTACAAACATGGAGTTTCTGCCGTATCATTACCTGCTAGCCACAGTAGTGAGTAGAGGTCTCCAATTTCTCAGGGCGAATCTAACGTCAGTCTAGGGAAATGCAGGATATCTGAAATATCAAGACGTTTCAACAGGTCAGATGGTTATTGAGACTCCTACCAAACTTGGATCACCTACCGCCCTCACACAGAACCCTCAGAATGCGGT